ATGGTAGGCACACGAAAAACAATGAAACGGGGCAGTGTTATAAATGTTCTCAATGAGGCAGGACAAGTCGATTGTTCAAGAAACGGTGATGGATCGCCAGCCTCGAAAAGATTTCGAGAATTTCATGTCAAAAGAGGTGTTGACAGACATGAACACTATACAGGTAGCCAAAGAAGAATAGTAAATTGTCACGGAATTGATGTTATCAACGCCACACGCCGAGGGACACGGAAAATGGGATCCAAGCTCTTATGGACTTGTGCCTTGAGGATGATCTTTCTTCTTCTTTTGTCAGAATCTGCTTGTGCCGCTAGGCGTCGCAGTCTATCAGATGATCGGCAACCGAGCCAGGGCGCGCTCAGTCGCTTCATATGCCGTGATGTTATGAAGTCTCAAGTTGTCCGTGACTCCTTCAATCCATATTCTTCTTGGTCTTCCCCTGCCTCTTGGTGTTTCGATTCTCATGTTGTATGCTCTTGATGCTGGCATCGTTGGTTCCATTCTCATTAGGTGACCAAACCATTTCATTCTTTGCTTCTCAATAAATTTAACGATGGGTATGGTTCCAATAGTTCTTGTAATCACATCGTTTCTCACTCGATCTCTTCTGGTTTTATTTGCAGCCATTCTCAAACATCTCATTTCACAGGTGGTTAGTCTTGATCGGTTAACTAATTAATTTCCAGAATGCTATAAACGTTGTCTGCAGACGATGGGAGGGAAAATGAACTGTTATTCAACTTCATGCAGTGACATGTTAGAGAAAGTTTTCGAGTCGGGAGGGTCGATTTCATTGCACTGAGTTTTATCCCGTATGTTTCAGTCTCTCTTCGCAGAATGTCATGTCTTTGCCGTGAGCAATAATAAAACAAATGTTTTTGAAGTCTACAAGTGGCTTCGGTGGAATTAGCTGAGGGCCTAGACTCCATTGAGTGATTCCTCACCTTCCTCGTGTTCATCGACTGTCTCTTCTTCTTCTATCCTTCTGTCAGAAAACCTATATCAGGAGACTGGTAGCCTTTATGAAAGCTATCGTGCATTCCAAATCCTCTTATGTACCATACAGTTTTGTCTTCAGTGTGGTTGGAAATACAGTTGACATTGTTGGAGCACATGCTCAGCATTTTCCGGTGCCACGCTGCAGGGACACGTCTCCGTGTTTACTACACCGAAAAGTTTGAACATATGTTGACGAAGTCTGTTGTGCCCAGTCCTTAGTCTGAATATAATACACTGTCCCTCTCTAGAAAGGCGATGAAGCGAGTCCTTGGTGCGAGAATCTGGTGTATGAATCCAGCCACCTTTCTTGGATACTAGATTGTATTAATGTTTTCGTCTCTTGGACCATTAGTTCCTTGCCTCTCAGACTGACGCACTCCGATTCTGAAGGAAGCCTAAATTAGCCGACTCCTACGACATGCTTGTTTGGGAGGAAGTGGGTCAGTTCTGGTTTATTCACAATGGGACCCAGGCCCGGAACTCACACGGGGAGTCTCCAGTGGTAGATGAATATATAAGACATCAAATAAGAAAATAAAACATGTACTAGACACTGAAATAGACAAGTCCAGACAGTAGATTAAAACAAAAAAACAAGGTACACGATTAAAGAAGTAAGAGAAGTAGAATAAAGTACTGACTTGCGCATATTTTGTAATTGACAAGAAAATGCAACGAAGTGTCCAGGACAGAGAGAGACAGATGTACTGCTGCAGAAGAGTTGTTGGAGATTGTGTGTGGGCAGGGAAACGAATATTTCTTTATGTAAAGGAATAAATACAATCGTTGATGAGTTAGAGCATGATGAATGTGTAGTATATGGGATAAATAAACGGTGTCTTTATTTTTGAATGAAGTTCTGGTTGCAAACGCCCATTGTATGTCAAATTGTAGACGATATAATAATTTCCTTGCTATTTATTTATTTATTTCAATTTGCCTGTGTTCGCTCGCAGTTGGGACAAGGGTGAGTAACCAGAAATGATGTAGGTTGATTGCTAATGACAGAATTTTTATTTTATTTTTTTAATCGTGCTTTGTATGTATTGAAACTCGTTGTCTTGCATTCTGTAGAAGATATGACGGGAGAGCCGTTAAATTATGTATCAATGTAGTACTGTGATTTTACGAATATTTTAATTATAATTTAATTAATTTTTAAAATAATCATGTTTATATTGACACGTTACATTTTTTGGTAGGTTGTATAGATTATAAAATGATATTACTATACTCTAATGTATTTTAATATATTTATCCTATAAAATATAAATTATGAAAGCCAGACATCTAGTAACGGGATCTGACAGTTAAAAAAAAAGGCAAACATAAAATAAACATTAGATATGCTACAAATTTATTTCATTGTTTTGCTAGAGAATAAAAGTATTGAAACAGTTATTGTATTATTAATTATGGTAACAAATAATAACAGACACAAATATAATATAAGACTCAGGTGACAAGTTTCATAACAGTAGAAAGTCAATTGACATGCATGCAAAGAGAATTTAACTCTCTGATGTCAAACCAGTTTTGGATCTGAACCACATAGAACGGTAAGAACAACGAAAACAACTACTAAATAAGCAGTAACAGTTCATTAATTAACTCATCCCTGTACAAAATAAAAGAAGTTAATTGGTATAAGAGAATCACAGATTTGGAGTTTAGGGAGAGAACTAAAGAAAATTTCAGTGAGGTAACAAAACTAATACTAAGTTAAACTTAACAGTATACCTAGAAAGTCTTTTCTTTTAAATTCACATGGCAAAAAAAAAAAGAACTTAAACACATAGTAGTAGAGGATTAGAGGTAGAAAAGAACAGCATGAAGTAAACCTGGAGTGAGAGGCAGAAGATGACAAAAGATAAGAGGGGTTGGCATGAACAGACATTCTCTTTGTGGCTTCTGCGGCTCTTTTTATGATATTTAGAGACAATAATAGAGCCACTGCCCCTCAACATGTATATCATAAAAGTTGACTAATCAGTTGTATTCTAAAACCAGATGTGTTAGGCCAAAGACGCAGTGATTGCACTTAGCTGTAAATCAGAACACAATTTACCAACCGCATTTTTAAGAGCAAACACAGAAAAGGAAAGATATCTGAGAAATGACTCGAATGTATATATTATATTACTTTCCCTTAGGCATTTGTTCTGAATGCATTTAACTTTCACTCCATGTCTTTAGTGAATCTCTTAACATTCACTGGCATATATTAAAACTGACAAAACATAAGAATTAAAAATATGGAACTTGGTTTAACCCTACCAGACCTGAGGCCTTGAACCTAACCGTCCCCTATACCTGACCTCCTGGGCATTAACACGAAAAAACCAACATGATGTACAAAATTATTAGTTACATGCAAATAAGTGGTTAGAATAAGATAAAACTTGGAGACATTGTAGAAAATTGGTTAACCTTTCATCTAGCGCCAATGTTCCACCTTTGTGTGCCAATCCACCTAGCAGGATCAGTCTTGTTTCACAAAGTGAACACCAGATGTTGCTGTTTGAGGGACACGCCCCCTTCTCTTACTATCAATCTAGTTTTAAATCTATAATTTTCATAATTCTTCTCCTCACTCTAGCTCTCACTGACTGTGTCACTTCAACTGGGAACGTATGTCTTCATGAACGTATTCACAGTCTGAATTAACCAAAGTATCAATCACTTGTTGGACTGTGAAAATCCTAGACCTACGTCACTTTATTGTCGAAGCCGCTCGTTTCATTGAGAATTTTCTGAATTTTGTTCACATTGAACCACACAAAGAAATCTCAACACACGTGGGAAGTCATTTGCAATGACTAACCACGAAGTCTGATGGTGATTGGCTGGTAATTTTTTTAGTCTGTGATGCATATTTTTCATGTACTTTGCAAATTCCCAAAAAATCAGGCCAGCGGTATAGCGTCAGGTTAGGAAATTCCCGAAAAATCGGGCCAGCGGTCTGGTAGGGTTAAAAACTAATTTAGCAGTTTTTTTTTTTTTTTGGGTAGGCATTTAAAAGTTGCAGTTTCTTTACCAAATATAATAAAATTTCTTTGCTGTCTCGCAGTGAAGGTTGGCATACAGTCTACCTCTGCTGTCTTTGCTGTTTCCGCAGTGAAGGTTGGCATACAGTCTACCTCTGCTGTCTTTGCTGTCTCCACATTGAAGGTTGGCATACAGTCTACCACTGTTGTCTTTGCTGTCTCACAGTGAAGGTTGGCATACAGTCTACCTCTGCTGTCTTTGCTGTCTCCACAGTGAAGGTTGGCATACAGTCTACCACTGTTGTCTTTGCTGTCTCACAGTGAAGGTTGGCATACAGTCTACCACTGTTGTCTTTGCTGTCTCCACAGTGAAGGTTGGCATACAGTCTACCACTGTTGTCTTTGCTGTCTCCACATTGAAGGTTGGCATACGGTGTACCACTGTTGTCTTTGCTGTCTTCACAGTGAAGGTTGGCATACGGTGTACCACTGCTGTCTTCGCAGTGAAGGTTGGCATAGTCTACCTCTGCTGTCTTTACTGTCTCCACAGTGAAGGTTGGCATACAGTGTACCACTGCTGTCTTCACAGTGAAGGTTGGCATATAGTCTACCTCTGCCATCTTTGCTGTCTCCACAGTGAAGGTTTGCGTACAGTCTACCTCTGCTGTCTTTGCTGTCTCCACAGTGAAGGTTGGCATACAGTCTACCTCTGCTGTCTTTGCTGTCTCCACAGTGAAGGTTGGCATACAGTGTACCTCTGTTGTCTTTGCTGTCTCCACATTGAAGATTGGCATACAGTGTACCACTGCTGTCTTTGCTGTCTTCACAGTGAAGGTTGGCATACAGTATACCTCTGCTGTCTCCACAGTGAAGGTTGGCATACAGATATAGTAAATGCAAAAGCCTCTGCTTACCTTTACTTGATGTGCATTTATAAATAAATACATTTTAACGATCTTCTCTTATTCTCATAGAAAGTGAATACTGTTAAAACGGTAACAGATAACAGACGGCATGAAGACGGTTTTGATGGTGGCTGAAAAGCCATCGCTGGCACAGTCGCTGGCTAAAATTTTGTCTAATGGCAACATGAACTCAAGGAAGGGCTCCAATGGAGCCTGTTCAATTCATGATTATACAGGGAAGTTTAATGGAGAGACAGTCCATTTCAAGATGACATCAGTGTGCGGCCATGTTCTGGGTGTTGATTTTCCAGGCAAATACAACAACTGGGACAAGGTGGATCCAGTAAGTGAACTACCTGCTCTTCATCTTCTTATTATTATTTTGCTTCTTATTTTTTCCTTTTTTTTTTCTCTTCCTACTCCTTCTTTTCCCTCTCTTCCTTCTTCTCATCCTCCTTCTGCTTCAAATTATGTTTTGTTGGAAAGAACATCTCCTCTGCACATCATAAGGAGATTATGTGAGTAAAAATACTGTTGCATCACCAGCTCCATCAGTACTTTTGTTTTCAATATTTTCTGCTTGATTCATTAATTTTCAATCTTATGTCATTCTCCACTGTCCATATGTTATCAGGGCTGTTAGTGGAAGCAAAGTATAGTACACTACACCCTACCAAACATGTAGAGATGACTTGGGGTAGGTTGGGGTCTTGTGGTTGACTACCCTATCCTTATTTTGTTTAAACTTGAGATGCAAAAGCCTGGTTAAAGGCCTAAGCCCTATTGGGGACTACAGGATTGAAGGAAGTATGGTTCTCCTTGGTGTATTTTGTTGCAGTAAAGCTTTTGTTTCCTTGTAATACCTCAGTTTGTGTGTCTATGTGTGTTTTTAAACTCATTTATCTAGTATGTAGCGAAGTTCATCCGCAATAAATGTATGAAAGTTAATAATTGTCAGTGCTTTTGATGTGTTTTTTATCAAGAGGGTTTTGATGTCCAAATAGGGGTGTCTCAGTTCAGCATCGTGTAAACCAAGGCTATTCAGGTTTATTCTTCTTAAGGTCTATGTCATATGGCGATGGTAGTCATGTCCATCAACCACCTTCTGTCTCGTGTACTTTCAATCAACTTTGACATAGATGATCCTCCATGCCATGATGTCAAACTATCCAGCATCTGTTCTGCTTCTTCTCCCCTCTAACTTTCCTACTGTAACGATGGACTCCAGTTTTCTCCTTCTCCTCACATGACCAAAGAATGTAGATTGTCTCTTTTTGATGTGGGGAATCAGTTCTCTTCGTGGGTCTCTTTCTTTGAAGACATCCTCATTCTTTTTATCTTTCTAGGATATTCTCATAATTCATCTACAAAACCAAATCTCTACAGCTTCCAAATAATTTTTCACTTCCATTTATCAAGATAGGATTTGTATAGCCTTTAATAATTCTCTTTCTCATCTCAGTTGGCACAAAAAGATTACATAAAATGTTTTTCACTTTCAGTTTATTCAGCGGTCGCAATTTTGAAAATGAAGATCGTCACTGGCCAAAGGCCGAGCCCTATCATAGAAAGATCATTAACGTTATACAACTGGCAGTGGTCCTCGGGCCACTTGCTAGGCCTCCGAGGGCCAGATTTGGTCAGAGGGCCACCAGTTGAATAGCCCTGGTGTAAACCATTTGCTAGCATTATTACAATATTTTAATGCAGCAGTCGGTGATGTAAAATGATTGTTAAAGTGCACACATATGGACGGTATAGGAGAAGAAACATTTATCAACCCCCTTGAGGGATGCAATTATTTGTTATTTTGAAGCCCCACCTTGGCTGTTGCCAGAGGCTGCAATATAGCCTATCGGTTGAACACGGTTTCCGGGACCTCTTCACGGGTATTCCTCATCTGCATGGTGGCACTTTGCGTCACCGGGTGTTTATCGCTTGTAAAATTTACTTACTTACAGTATAGGACATGACCAAAATATATTTATATTTCAGGTTGAGTTATTTACTGCGCCCATCACCAAGAAGGAAGCGAACCCAAATCTGCACATGCCAATGTTCCTCAGAAAAGAGGTATCTTTGATCTGCTCCATTTGGTGCATTGTTTTAGGAATCTCTCTCACTGTCTGTCTGTCTGTCTCTCTTTCTCTCTCTGTCTTTATCTTCATTCTCTCTCCCTCTCACACACACACTCTGCCTCTGTGTGTGTGTATGTGTGCCATTCTGTGTGTGTATGTATTTGCATGCACATTTATATATGTGTGTATACATGTATATATACACACACACACCAGTAAACATATATTGTCATAAACTATGTTTTTATCTGTCTTTATTTGTTTGGCCCTGCGTGTTTCAGGGCAGTGACCTTCTAGTTGTACTATTGTCAAGTTTTCCCAGTGTTTCCTATTCAGTGCCAGTCTTTTCATTGCATTTTGTTTTCTCAACATTTCTCAGCAACTTTGTTGAAATATTAGATGTCAGAGAAAGGATTGGAGTGTCATGTCAGAAGAAGGATTAGAGTGTCATGTCAGAGAAAGGATTGGAGTGTCATGTCAGAGAAATTGTTGGAGTGCTGTGTCAAAGAAAGGATTGGAGTGTCATTTTTGCCACCGTCTCCTAACCAGGCATAAAAAAATGTAGTCTTTGTAACCATTGTATTTGTATCATGTGACTAAAGAAACACCTTTTTATTTGTATGCTTTCACTAAAGAAAACCTTTAATTTAAATTATGTAGCTAAAGAAACACATTTGTATTTTATGTTGTGACCAAAAACGTGTTCTAATTTTTATATTATTATTATAGAAAGTCATAATATTTAATGTTGCGACTAAAGAAACACTATTTAAAAAATTTCATCCTCTACTTATTACAGGGAACAAATGCAGACTATTTAGTCCTGTGGCTTGATTGTGACAAAGAAGGAGAAAACATCTGTTTTGAAGTCATTGATTGTGTGAAGAGTGTTATGAATCGTGTTCCTGGCCAGGTAGGTTGCATTAATTACATCTACAACAGTAGTTTATGTCTGCCTTTGTCTTTCCTCATTAAGCTTTTACCTCAACCAATCTTCTTCTTCTTCTTCTTCTTCTTCTTCAGCATTCCGACCCCTTGAGGTTCATTGCTGCAGATATCACCTGCCTCCATTCATCTCTCTGACGGGACTTCTCTTTCCAGTTGGTGACACCAAGTGTTTGCAGGTCTGTCTGGACATTATCTCTCCATCTTCTTCTTGGTCTGCCTCATGGTCTACGACCATTCATCTCCCTCATGTATACACTTTTCACTTCTCTGTCATCTGACATTCTTTCAATGTGCTCCAACCATTTTAGTACTTATACCAATCGGCTCCCTGAAATCTGACTTGTCTGGCCTGCTGAGCAAAAAAACAAATAAACTCTGGTGACTAACAAAACAGTATGTTTTGACATGTTTGTTGTAGCTTACCTTGACTCACCTGAGCATCTTTCCAAGGACATTCTAGGGTGTGAGGTAAAGAGCAGGCTGATGTTGTTTCTCTGGATGATGAGCTACTTTATGATAAAGCAGACATTGTAAAGGCTTTCTGGGATCAAATGAACAGTCGTGGTTCGTCTTCCTGAGAGACTGGGAACTTACAGTCTGCATACAAATAAGCCAGATGTGTAAAACAGATATGCATACAACACAAATTCTGCACCATGACTTAAGTCCAGAAGTGGTTGAACAACCAGAACTTACAGTGGAAGCTTACAACCTGTGAATGTAAAGAAGAAGAAATCTTTTATATTCTTTGTCAGAAACCTTTTGAGGGCAAGTGTCTTTGTTTACTTATAGTTGTTGATCTCACTCAGAATTGTCAGGTAAGCACATGAAAGAAACTTAAATTTTACAAGTAACATGGTGGAGGCATGTAACAAAATGTGACCAGGCATTGGGTTATTTCAGCAAATTTACAGAGCCAAGTTCAGTGCAATCACAGAAACAGAAATCAAGCATGCCATGAGCCATCTTGTGGAGCCCAACAAGAACGAAGCCTTGTCGGTGGATGCCAGACAGGAGCTGGACTTGAGGATCGGTTGTGCCTTCACTCGTTACCAAACATGCTTCTTTCAGGTGATAATATGAAATAACTGTGCACTGAATTGTCCTCAGAATTGTTGTTGTTTTCTTAGCATTGCTGGAATCAGAGACCCCAAACGCCTTGAGTGTGCCTCCAGACCCCGCATCCCCAGAAAAAAATTGTATCATATTATTTAATATAAATAATTTTTTTATTTTTTTTTTATTCAGCACATGTTTTTAAAAAAATGTATGTAGACTATTCATATTAACTCTTTGAGTCCCAGGGGGTTTAGCATCACAGGCCCAAGGGGTAGTCAAAAGAGATGTAAAATCGGCGCATTGGGCTTCTAGGTAGGAATCTATGAACGTATGATGCATTCCTTGGGACTAAAAGAGTCAAGCAATTAAACAAGGCTCATCCCCAGCGCCACCCCATAGAAAATGTGTAAGGGGACTGAGGGATCTCCACTCCCTTTTGTTTTCTTTATGTCTGCACCCCATTGTGGAACTAATTGCAGTCCTTTTCCATTTATGGCCTAATGGTAAAGGACCCTTTTTTTATGGCCTCATGTGCATTGGGTTTATAGTGGTTGACCTATATTTCATAGACCAGTCGGGCACTCTGTGGGGGGCGTGGTCAATGTCAGGCCAGCCACCTTTATGGCCTAATTACACCTTAACTCTTTGGAAAGCATCCTGTGTTGATTTTTAACTAATTTAACTGTCCTCTGCTACTGAAGGATTTGATATGTTCCTGCACAAATATGAAGTTGCAGTTCCTGCTCATTTCTGGGGGTTGGAGAGGGGAGAGCAACAGTTTTTTTCAAAGATGGTAGTAGGTTCATATAAACGTTTTTACACCAGCTTCACTGTTTTTAAATGCTAGACTCTTGTTACACAATGCACAAGACTTGAAACTTCCAGAATATGGAGTCAAACAAGACTCTTTAGGAAATGTCATTGAATTTTTCATCAGTGATAGCTTTCATGACTACCCTGTTGTCATAAGCCTTTGTATAAAGTTTCTTTCATATATATGGTTTGAAATCATATCTTGGATTGTGGTATTTATGTTCATATCTAATGTTAACTTTAACTGATGTTTTTTTTTTTCTATTGTGTCTTCTTCTTCTTCTTCATGTTCACTGGCTGTAAACTCCAGCAGAAAGTTTTCGTTCTTCATCCACTTCTTGACGTTAGTTTGTTGGTTTTCAATTTACTCATCTGGCTTATTTGTGTTGATTCCTCACCTCTCAGGCAGATGCACTGTGACCACGATGGAAACATTCCTAATTATTCAACTCTTATGTCATGCTTGTTAGGGGGGGGGGGGGGGGCTGTTCCTTTTCCCCCCACATTTTGGCCCCAGAACCCACATGGAGATTTCTGTTGCATGACTTTGATATGTTTTCATGTGGCTGAGGACTGTGTGTATAACTTTACTCCTTTTTTCAACTACCCAGGCAATTTTTAACACTGCTGTACATCTACATTTCTTAAATCACAGAACTGCCTTTTTTTTCCCATTTTATTTTTCATACATGAATGATCTGTTTCACTATGGAGGTTAAATACAAAGCTTGACCTGAACACTTCTTGTCTTCTTCTTCTGTTCTCTACTCCTGGAATGCGTTTCAGTGTCAGGGCAGGAAGACATCTCTGAATCAGGCCCTTCTGTTCTCTACTCCTGGAATGCATTTCAGTGTCAGGGCAGGAAGAGATCTCTGAATCAGGCCCTTCTGTTCTCTTTGAATAAAGAACTTTTCAGTGTCTCTGATATTTCTGCGGTCCATTTTCTGTGTGGTCAACCTCTGGATCTGTTTACCGCTGTATCTGTATAACATTGCTCTCTGTGGTGCCCTGTCTGATGCCAGTCTTGTTACATCACTTCCTGTAAAGTTCAGTATTGGTTCTGTGCCAACTCCCCTCCTGATATCATCGCTCCTAATTTGATCTTTACTCATTACACCTAGCATAGTATGTAAACATTTCATTTCTGTCATGGCTGTTGTTCACTAATTTATGAACTCTAAAGCAGCCTTGATTCCCCAGCCCTATTAAAATATTCTGCATGTCCCAGCAGAATATAAATGTTGCAATGAAAGTCATAGTTTTAAAGATTGTGAACATTCATCTGACTGAAATTATGATGCCAGTACATTCACCTAGTTGAATTGATAGTTCAGTTACATTCATTTAGTTGAATTGATGGTTCAGTTACATTCATTTAGTTGAATTGATAGTTCAGTTACATTCATTTAGTTGAATTGATGGTTCAGTTACATTCATTTAGTTAAATTTATGATCCCAGTACATGCCTCTAGAAGAATTTATTGTTCATGCCACTGTTTATTTCACTGAGCTTGCTATTATAAAGACATTAATGATTGCAGTTATTACAAAAATTGTGTGTTGATAATATAACCAATATAAAGTTGAAATATTTCTGAAAAGGGTAAATATGGAGATTTGGACAGCACACTCATTTCTTTTGGGCCATGCCAAACACCAACTCTAGGATTTTGTGTAGAACGTCATGACAAGATCCTGTCATTCAAGCCAGAACCATATTGGGTGATAAATGTCCAGGTTTGTTTTAAATATTACTGTTTTACAATACTCTCACATTTCTTCAGTTACAACCACCATTACATACTATTTCTACAGCCAACAAGACATTTCTTCTCCTTGAATCGTCATCGCATTTCTTCCTTTACAACTACCATCACCTTCAACAGTCAGCACATTTCTTCCTTTACAAATACCATCCCCTTCAACAGTCATTACATATTTTCCTTTACAACTACCATCGCCTTCAACAGTCCACATTTCTTCCTTTACAACTACCATCGCCTTCAACAGTCATCACATTTTTTCCTTTACAACCACCATCGCCTTCAACAGTCATCACATTTTTTCCTTTACAACTACCATCGCCTTCAACAGTCATCACATTTTTTCCTTTACAACTACCATCGCCTTCAACAGTCATCACATTTTTTCCTTTACAACTACCATCGCCTTCAACAGTCATCACATTTCTTTCTTTACAACTACCATCGCCTTCAACAGTCATCACATTTCTTCCTTTACAACTACCATCGCCTTCAACAGTCATCACATTTTTTCCTTTACAACTACCATCGCCTTCAACAGTCATCACATTTTTTCCTTTACAACTACCATCGCCTTCAACAGTCATCACATTTTTTCCTTTACAACTACCATCGCCTTCAACAGTCATCACATTTTTTCCTTTACAACTACCATCGCCTTCAACGGTCATCACATTTTTTCCTTTACAACTACCATCGCCTTCAACGGTCATCACATTTAATCTACAACTACCATCAGATGTTTTGATAGTTTTTGTTTTTTTTAAACTTCACAGTTACCTTTCTAGAACTATATATTTCTTATTCTGCAAACAATGTCAGATTTCTTCTCTCAAGACTGTCACATTTCCCGCACGTCAGTACATTTTTTACATTTTTTTTATTTGTTTATTTTGTTAAACTTGAATAATTGTGCCTCAGAATTATGTATAATAATGTTATATTTTCCAGCAAGAGATCAGATGAACAATTTCTCTAAAACATGGGAGAATATAGACAGCTATTGGTAAATAGAGAGAAAAGCTGGTGACTTTAGCTAGGTCACAGAAGGAGACATAAGTCTTCTAATAAAAATATTGAATAACAGAATCAGTTATATCACAGCCTAGCTGTGAACCACAACAGAGCTTACTAGCAGCCCTTTAAGAAGATGAGGAAGAAGACAAAGGAAGAACATGATCAGTCAGCCTAACACCAGTCTGATCTAAAGATGATTATACAACATGTGCATATACAGTAGATAAACATACATTTCCGGTGGCCTCTACATTTTCTCTTCTCTTGGGTTCTTCTTCTTCTTCGCTATCACCCACTGTAGACTCCTGCAGAAAGCTCTGGTTGTTCAACCACCTCTGGACTTTGGTCTTGTTCCAGAACCTGAGTGTTGTGTGCACCTCCATTTTACAGATCTGACTTCTTTATATGCAGACTGTTGGTTCCTCGCCTCTCAGGCAGATGCACTCCGACTTCGAAAGAAAACCCCCCAATTAGTCAACTCTTGCGACATGCTTATTGGGGAGTCAGTGGGTCTGTTCGTGTTTTCCCCACAATGGGGCCCTGGGACCCGCATGAGGTTAAAACCAAATATCTTTGGCCCTGCAGGCAAGCATCTAGCTATTATATTATCACAGCTCCCAATATTGTTTTCAACTCTTGTGAATGCATCTTTTTTAATTACCCCTTATTTTTCAGGTTTCTTCACCAAATATTAAAACTCTGCGCTTAGACTGGGAAAGAGTGAGACTGTTTGATAAAGAAGTTGCCCAGATGTTTCTCAATCGGATCAAAGCTGGGGAATCAGCTGTGTAAGTTCATACTGTAGGTCACAGCTGTTTTTGTTGAATGGTTTCTTTGTTCCGCTGTGTTGGGGGGGGGGGGGGGAAGGGGAGGGGCTTCGTGGTAAAGTCGACAAGCCGCTGTCTTGCGCTATGATGGTCATGGGTTCATTTCTGGATGCATAGTTCCAGTGCATAACTGCAGTTTTTACAGAGATCACTGTCGATCATAGCTGGAGCTACAGAGTTCAGGCTTTATGTAGAGATCTTGCTGCTGGCTGTTCTGCAGAGAGAGAGACTGAGTTGTATGAGATAATCTGGTGCAGTGAGGTCAATCCTCTCGACTTTGCCTGTTTACCCATTCGAAGTTGAGGTCTTCAGTGTGTATATTTTTAGCTGTTTTTTTTCTACACATCAGACAATTTGGCCATTTGGCCTGGTTACAAGCAATAATCTGATCCATGATTCTGGTGATTGTGTGAGCCAGCAAACAATTACTACCTGTGCTTATCAACCAGGCACCTGATGATGATGATGACACATGAGTCAGCATTTCATCTTGTTTTGGTCAGAGTCTGGTCGGCAGCTTCTCTTTTCGAAGGTGCCCAGTCCAGAGCAGACATTACTGATCATGACTTTCCAGTCTTTTCTATCTTTCTTCCTCTTCAGCCTTTATCTCCCAGTGGAGCATAAGCTCTACCCCGGGTCAAACCAGAAGACATGTTCACCGTTGGTTGGGTGTTGTATTATTCAAGAACCTAACCCTAGCCTTCGTCGTCTCTTAGAACATACTTTTCGACCTTAGAATGTAGAGTTAAAAACTCTTGGGCTCTCTCTATATAGTCTGATATTCTAATGAAATAGGTTTTGATAATACTGTTGTTTGTTGACTTTCTGTTCTAACCTTATATACACACACACACACACACACACACCCCCCCCCCCCCCTTTTCCCTCTCCATGTATTGTATTTCTTCTTTTCTCTTAATTTTGATACATGATCGTGTAACCAGTGTAACCAATATGTAGCCAGTGATTATTGCACAAGATACCTAGTAGAACTAGAAAAGAAAACTAGTTGAACACTCCCTCACGCAGACACACACAAAGAATCTCTCAATGTCACCTGCTACGAAAGAGAGCTCCACACTTTCGTGTTGGGCCTCAAACGAATTGGGGCAGCTTTTCCGCACGGGTGTATAGACGGTGAAGGTGAAAGAATGCATATCCTAACAGGACAGCCTGTGGGAACTGCCATGGCATGAATGGCAGCCAGCACAAAATCTTGCACCCGGGGTGGTGGGTTGATTTTCATGATATGTACTTTCTTTTCTTCTTTGTCCATGACATTTTCAGGATTCTTCCAAATAACTAAATCTCTTCTGCCTTCAGTTCTTCATCACTTCATATGCCATTGTCCAACACTCACATCCATCAGAAAAACATTTCAAAACCATTTAAAAAAAAATTGTTTTGTTCATTTTAAATAAGGACAGAATGTTTCTGTTTCCCATCGTTTAGATCAGAAGGGTATACTACAGAATTTGCTTTATTTAGATCCTTACCCACACAGGACTGCAGGTTTCACCAGCCTGACGAGGCCATTAAGGACACCCTAATTTTAATGTCATTGGTCGTTGGACTGGGTATCTAGGAATGGCCACTTTGATCGGCCATTCAGGTTGAGATTTTGTTAATCGCAGGGTGTCAGAATATCAGGTAGCAGCACAGAGGGGGGAAAACAGCATGCGCCCACATACAGAGTTTACACCAACATATAATCAAGCAAGGAATAATTAATCTTTGATAAATCTGAATCTGTATTATCTTTGCTATAAATTACTGGACTTGTTTTGTTTAACATTAAAGCGTACTAGACGTTGTAGAGAAGAAGGGAGAGAAAGCAAAGCCTCTGGCTTTGAACACAGTGGAAATGCTGAGAGTGGGCAGTTCTGGTCTTGGTAAGCACCTGTGCTAGTTTTTGTGACATTTTATGTGTTAAACTTTGTTGTATTCTGTGGCTATTTAATGTGTAAAACTGATTTTTTTTTTTCCTTAACTTTCTTTGACACTTCTCTGTGAAAAACGTATTTTTCACCTTTTGTGACATTGTTCACTGTTAAATGTATTTTTCACTTTCTGTGACACTGTTCTGTGTTATCTGTATTTGTCGCCTTCTTTGACACTGTTTTGTGTGACTGTTATTTTTCACCCCATGACACTTGAATGATTTATATAAGTCGGACTGCCCTACAGAAAATATTCAGGGTTCTGAATTCCTGTCCCAAAAGGTGGGAGATTTTTAGACAGCATCTATTTTTGTAATGGTTTTTTATTATGGGGGGGGGGGGGTGGGGGGGGGGTTCCAGATACCATGAATTGTTAACCCTTTGACTCAATGCTGTGGATACCATTGGGCCTTGATTCCATGATATATACCATAAAGCTGGGAAATATTTTGCTTTTCTGCCTTCCCCCCAGAGTGAACTAGGAGTTTGTCACCCGCTTGCCTCACAGCTGGTTTAACCAATTTTCTAGCGCACCGGGCATAGACAGCATCTATACAGGATAGTTAGTAGTTGAGAAATAAACCTAGAAAACTTAATAGTGTCTGGTAAACTTAAAGTGAAAAGAAACAAGAGGAAGACAGAGACGGCCTTTGTATAGGATAGTTAGCCTTTGTCTTTCTTTATCATACACCTTCAGAAATCTTCTTCTTCTTCACGTTCTGCAGCTGAAAATTCCAACGAAAAGTTCTGGTTGTTCATCCACCTCCGGACTTTAGTTTTTTTTTTCTCCTTAAGCTGAGTGTTGCTTGCACATCTGTTTTAAATATCTGGCCTATTTGTATGCAAATTGTTGGTTCCTTGCCTCTTAGGCAGATGAACTCCAACTTCGAAGAAAGGCCCAGTTAGTCGGCTCTAATGCCATGCTTAGTTATTCTCAGTGGGTCTAGTCCTTGTTTCCCCCCACAATGGAGTCCTGGGACCTACACAGACCTTCAGTCTGGTTATTTTAAAGAGAACAGCAGCCATCTTGAGGTTAATAATTCCACAGAGATTGTCCTCAGATATAAAGACCAAAATAATTTTCTCTTCTACATATTTTGTATTAGTATCTTATAGCAATTGTTTTACCAGTTTCATAGAGATGGTCATCAGTTTCTCTTTGATGCTTGTTGTTGAACAGGTGATATTTTAACCCTGTTGAATCCTGTGATGACTCTGAAGTTCACATCCATGGAGTACCTGTTGTGGGTTCTTGGGACCTCAATTTATAAGGGGAAAAGAATATACCCACTGCTCCCTAAAAGCAGGTCATAAAAGACAATTAGAGGATTTGATAAAATCGGATATGTTGGAACAAAAAGGACAGATATTGCAGCCTAGTTGTAAATAAAGAAAATAATTACACGCTAACTGTCCTTTTAAGGGTTGCTGTATTTAAAATAAAAGGGCATTTTTTAGAGCCAGTGATACAGCTCATCTTTCTAGCTTTGACTCCTACCCCTTTTTTTTTCCTCCATTTATTCGGTCAAGTTGTGTATATGTCTGTGAATATTTTGTTGCAGGCTTTTCACCACAACATACCATGCAGATAGCAGAAAGGTTGTACACACAGGGCTACATCAGCTACCCCAGGACTGAAACCAACTCTTACCCGGACAGCTTTGATTTAAGGTAGTGCAGCTTTTCTAGAGCCCTGGCTAACATACTTGCTGTTGCTGCACACTTAAGATAATGGACTGGGTTGGAACCTGTTTTGAAAAAAGAGGACGGGGTGTTAATTTCTGTCTTTTTCCTTCTTCTGTACCCAAGCTTATTAATAGTGGCTGCTTGTTGCTGTGACTTGTTTTATGTGAAATCTTGCCACCTTTTACTGACAGAAAAACAAAACAGGCAGTCCCTCAATTAACAAATAAACACTAAACCTAGAGAAGATAGAATTAGACAGCCCAGATAGGGCATGTGATAGTCAGAAATAAACTTGAAAACTTAGTAATAGCTGTTAAACTTGATGGCAAAAGAACAAGAGGAAGACAGAAATAAATACTTAGATGGCTTTAAAAAGATCAGAATACAGACTTTATCCGTGTTTGTAATAAACGTCTGTGTTTTGGATTAGACAAGAACACAGACCTCATCTGTGATTCTGGTGATCATGTGAGTTGACAGACCAAGAACAAAAGACATGTTCATTTGAAATTGTGGGTTTGGTTATGAAATGTTATTTTGTATTTGCACATTTTCTGTTATTTTAGCACTTTTTGCAACATGTCTGCCTCCCTTTTTATCTGTAAATTATAACTGTTCTTGAAAATATATCATTCTTTTTTTTCCCCTACACAGAGGCCCTCTGAAACAGCAAGCATCTCATCCACACTGGGGTCAGTTTGTGTCTGAACTGTTGAAGACTGGAATTCAAAAACCTAGGTACAAATTTGCATTTTCAGTCTGTAGTTTTTCTTTTTTTTATTCTGAACCTCAAGAAGTGACAAACTAATCTATTCTAAATTTGAAAACCCAGGCTTAACCATTTACATCCAGGAAATTCTTCAGTGGAAACCATGCACCTGTTAATTTCTGGAAAAAAAATGTTTTTTAGAAAGTAATCTTTTTTATGTGGGTCACTAATAATTTAAGAAGTCTTTTTCTAATTTTAATGTACATTAAAAATAATTTATTTTAGAAATGTATGAAGGGGAGTAATCAGTAAGCATGAATGGAGCAGAGAATTATTTGGATTTAATTCTCTTGAACCTAAAAGAAAGTGTATGCAGTGACTCATAGACACCTGCTCCTCCCATGACAAGCATTTTGCACAAAGCGATTAATTAGGGGTGTTTTCTTTGAAGTCAGAATGCCTGAGAGGCTAAGAACCACAAATAAGCCAGATCTGTAAAATGGATGTGCCTGCATAATTGAAGTTCTGGAACAAGACCAAACTCAAGAAGTGGACGAACAACCAGAACTTTCTGCTGGAAATTAAAGCCGATGAATGCTAAGAAGAAAAATACCTATTAAGGTAATGGATATGTTTTTACTCTGTCAGGGGCAAAAATAATCACCCTAATCTGCAGTCCATGGCGACTGGACTAGTCATGTGGGCCCTCAATCTTCAGGCTCCAGACCCCCTGCCTACACCACCCTAAAATGTGGTACGTGCGGGAAGTAACAACAGTTTATTTTCTGTGCAGACACACTTGTCATTGTACTGTTATTCCCACTCATGTGTCTTCTACACAAACTAATAAATAAAGTAAAAGTAAAGAACCCTTTTCCACGCCTTTAGGCATATAGGGCTAGACCTATACTTTATAGACCAGTTGGCAGAAGATGGGTAATCTGGTCAGCATCACGCCGGCCGCCTTCACTTCTCGGGGACTGCGCCCGGTACCCACTCAAGGCTGGGTCGACCTGGGAGTCAAGGTCATTTTTAAAAAAAAGTCTGGCTCTGCCAGGGAGCAAACCCACGACCTTCCATGGCGACTCCCGCACAAACTAATAACTACAGTAATTGATACATGGTCATAAATTTATTGAAGGAAAGGGCATGATGCTGGTGATCATCCTCCCATTACTCCAATGAAGTCTGCAACCGAGGGAGAGCTAGATCATGACAGTTGGAGGCTCTATGATTACATCACTAGACACTTCATTGCTACAGTAAGTGTATCTGTGTTGTTTTTTTAAAAAGTTTTTGTGTGTTGGTGGAGGGGGGTTTGACTAGTTATTTCGTCGGTTATTTCTCTTTTTTATTTTATATATAGACCAGGAATACAAGTTGGTTTGTGTGTATGTGTGTGTGTGTATATATATATATATATATATATATATATATATATATATATATATATATATATATATATATATATATATATATATATATATATATATATATATATATATATATATATATATATATATGTGTGTGTGTGTGTGTGTGTATATATATATTTATATATATGTGTGTGTGTGTGTGTATATATATTTATATATATATATGTGTGTGTGTGTGTGTGTGTATATATATATGTGTGTGTGTGTATATATATATATAAATATTAGGGCTGTACCGAATAGTGATTTTTACTATTCAGCCGAATACGAATAGCGGGACCAACTATTCGGCCGAATAGGAATAGTGTATCATCATCATCAGGTGCCTTGCCGACGGGCATGGGCGATTATGCCTCGCCACAATCTGCAATCTCCTGCAGCATGTATTAGTTCCTGTGCTGACACACCTCTATGCCATGCAGCAAGACTGTCAAGCATCTTCTCTCGTTGTCTTCCTCTATCCCTCCTTCCACAGATCTGTCCAGTGGTCACCACATGTTACATTTTCCCTCTTCTCATAACATGGCCGAAAAATTATGACTGTCTCCTTCTGATGTCTGTGGTAAGTTGTCTTTGGGCTCCCGCCTCTTTCAAAACCTCTTGGTTGCTTTTTGTTCCTGTCCAAGGTATTTTAAGAATTGATCTGTAAAACCACATCTATGATTCCTCAAGAAATTGTTTGGTCTGCCTACCTATTGTCCAGGACTCAAAGCGATATGTTAAAACTGGATGTATGTAGCAAGCAAGAATTCTTTTTTTAACCTTTAATGACAAAGACATACTGCATAAAATGTTCTTCATTTTATAAAACACAGTTTTTGCCTGTCCTATTCTGTTTCTTATTTCAGTTATGCATCTTCCATCTGATGTTATCCATGTGACCAGATACTTAAATTTATGTACTTGTCCCAAAACACCACCATTGACTTTTATTACTCATTTAGGAATAATGCTTTTTTTTTTTGATGCCACCATTACTTCTGTCTTCCCACTATTCAAACTGAGGCCCATTCTTCCACTTATAAATAGTGTATAGTGTACAAAATAGATCTAAAAAAAACATTCACAATGTCAAATGTACGCTGAAAGTTTACTTCACAAAATGTAGTACAGAATATTAAACATAAACATTTTATGTTTTGCATCCTTCAGTCAGTCAGTCTGTGGTAACTAATACATAGGAATGAAAGTATTCTTAGTTTTATTTCAAGTAACTATACTTGTAAATTGTCACTGACAGCTTAGTTAATGCATGAAAGCGGCATTAGCTTTCAAAAAAACCAATGGTTCCATGTTGTCAGCATTAAGGCAGCTTCTGGTCTCACTGAAGGTATTTCCAGCTGTACTAAACAGACGTTCCCTTGGTACGCTCGTAGGTGGTGCACAAAGATAACGCTTGACAGTATGAACCAAGGTGGGAAATATTGATATGTTTATTTTCCACCAGTCCAGTGGGTCAGTGTCTCTTGGGATACACGGCTCTGACATGTAGTTATTCACTTCTGTTTCAATGGTAACTCGAATGTCGCTTTTCTGTATCTTCGGTACCTATTGTGTTAATGAGAGAGTTACTTCAGTCCATCGCAGTGTATGTAGAAACGGGTGTAAGTTAACCACTCTTCGTATTAGGCCCGACCGCAACTATTCAGCCGAATACCGAATAGTTATTAGGTCCACTATTCGGCCCTGAAGCAAATACGAAGCGAATATTCGGTACAGCCCTAATATATATATATATATATGAATATGTCTTCAGAGGTTCTTATAAATCTTCCTAGAACCAGAAAGAATCTTAATGATGCCAAGACATGAAATAGCTGGAGGGGAAGAGGGTGTGATACCAAGAGAGTAGACGCTGGATAGTTTGGCATCATAGCATTGAGAATCATCTGTGTCAGAAAAGGACTGGTACATGAGATATCTTTCTGTACAAAGATTTGTCTACCAACACTACCTGAACTATGAGAAGAAGATTAGAAGGAGAAAACATACTTGAGTTCAGTTCATTCTTTTGTAAAACCACAGCTGGATACTATTCTTGATATAATGTTTAGCAATGTACCTTAAAAGCATTCACCCTTGCTGCCATTGAGGTTTCAGATTTGCCATTGACTGTCCTTAGAAAAAGTTGCATGTTTGTATCTGTGGGGCCTCTGGGTGTTTTGCAGTTTTTGAACAAAGGATCATCATCATAGTGCATGGGTGTAACACATAGGTGCTCTGTTCTTCTTCTAACTCAAGTCTGAGTCCGAAGAGGTGGAGCACAGTGCACAAACTCTGTAGCACCGGCAAGGATCCTGAAATACTGCCCGGGGCAGCGTCGTTAGGCTACTCTTTTCGAATTCCAACAGTGTACACGGGCGTCCGATCTCACTACCCAGAGAACAGGGTGAATTACTAGAAGTCCAAGTGCACCTGAAAAAACCTGGGATTAAACCCGGAACCTCAAGCACTCCAGTCGGACACCATGCCTCGAGACCAATGCAGCTTAGGTATATTAAAGTACCAGTGTATATTAATGTATCTTCTGTATGCATTTTGTTAATATTAGAAATTCTTAATTACAGGTGAGCCCCAACTGTGTATACCTGCAGAAGACAGTCTACTTTGAAATAGGCTCTGAAAAGTTCTCCTGTTCTGGCAAGGCTGTAATAGATCTTGGCTTTACTGCTATCATGCCTTGGTTACAGATCCAAGACGATGAAGAGATCCCTCCTTTGAAGCCAGATGACAAACTTTCAGTGGATGAGGTGGATTTATAGTTTTTTTTTCCTTTAAATATACTGTTAGAGCTGCTCTGTGGCTTAGAAGTTAGTGAAAAGTTTCACAGTAAAGTCCTTACCAGGGTTCAACTCTTGTCGTGGGCAGTTTGGAAAAAGACTGTTCACATGGCTTTTGAAAATGTTGTGGGAGTCGCACTGAAAAAGGTAGGGGCCTCGCCACATAATATTCCCACAGTTAGCAGTGAAAACACTGCAGCCAACCTCCATTGTGGAGACGACACACTTTTATTACTACTATACTATAAGGTAGATTATTAGTAACAATAGAGATGAAGCATGCTAGTGTGAGCCATGATCAGCTGAAACCCAACCTCGCTTGATCACAAACCTGTGAAAAGTCTATTAGCAGATACATTCCTGATTTAGCAATACAGCTGAAGAAAACCAAGCAGGCAGCTATGGTTTCAGAAGCGGTCACTAAGTCGAGAGGATCGGCTTCATTGCCCCCTAGCATAACAGCCAGCCGCCTGCCAAGAGCTTTGCACAAAAGCACGAATTCCATAGCTCCGGCAATGATCCCCAGGAATTTCCGTAAAAATTTCACTCGTGACCTGAACGATGCAGCTGTGAGGTGAACCCACAACCTTCAGAGCACGAGGAAAGTGGCTTGACCACCCCCCACCCCACCCCCCAGGAGAGGTCACTGTAGCTATTCACACACGCATCCCACTCCTTGGGAGATGGCAGATAATGTACGCAAAGATTAACTTTGGTTGGGGTTTAAGCCATTTGGTCACCACTGCCATGACATCTTTGCCAGTTATGAATCAGTTTTGCTTAACAGATTTTTTTTAGGGGTCTGCAGAAAAGAAAGTCACATCTTGACAGAGCAGGTTTGTAATCGACATATGTCTGAATTTCCAGTCTTCAGTGCTTCTGCTGTTTTTGCTAAGCTAATAATTTTTTTGTTGGTGGGTTCCCATAGTGCCTCTTTCCTTTCCAGGGAGATTTCCTATCAGTGTTGTCAAAGGCTTTTTCATAGTCTATGAATCCAGCGTAAAGTGGGAAATTCAGTTTGATGCTTTGCTCTGTTGTTATGTATAATGTTTCTATCTGATCTGTACAGGATCTGTTTGGATGAAAACCTGCTTATGTTTCCTGCACATTGTTTGTGACATGCTGGCAACCATTGTCGTTCAAATGAATCACACCAAGCTAAAGCATGCTAAGTCACTTACTCGTAATGACTTTTATACCATTTGTCAAATGTGTCCCTGTAGCAGATGACGTGGATGTTAACCGCATGTTTCTGGCCATCCCTGTGACTTAATGAATGTGTTGAATCCTACAGGTGAAACTAGTGGAGAAACAAACCTGCCCCCCAGACTACCTAACAGAGAGTGAGCTCATCACCCTCATGGAGAAACACGGCATCGGCACTGACGCCAGCATCCCCGTCCACATCAACAACATTTGTGAACGTAATTATGTCAACATCATTGCCGGCCGAAAGCTGAAGCCCACTAACCTTGGCATTGTTCTGGTTCATGGCTATCAAAAGGTATGTGTATGTTGTCTTTGTGTATAGGTCTGATGGTAAATTGTCTATTTGTATAGGGGAAACATATCATGGTAAGTTTTCTCTCTGTATTGGGAAAACATCTCTTTGTAAGTTGTCTATCTGTATAGGGAAAACATATGGTAAATTGTCTGTATTGGGAAAAATCTCTTGATAAGTAAGTTGTTCGTCTGTATTAGGCCAATGTATCATGGTAAGTTGTATATATGAATAGGGAAAAACATCTCAGTTTGTATCTTGTATTTAGGGGAAAACATCTTCTTTCAATAAAAATAGCATTGACTGGTAAATCCAGACATTAACACATGCTTACTAATGATCTGTTTACCAAAGACTTTAGCTGTCTAACACTGGGAATACTGAACACCATCTAGATCATAAATGCTTCAACATGTACATAATATATTGTTTCCCCTAGCTTGTCATTAAACCTCCTGCTCCCAACATCAAAGCATTGTTTCAGTTTTTCTTCTCAATGTTCACCGCTTGTAAACTTCAGTGTCCTGCATGCACGTCCATTTTACTGATCTTATTTGTATGCAGACTGTTGGTTCTGTGGGGGGGGGGGGGGGGGGTCTATTCTGTTTTCCCCAAATCCAGTACAGAGCCAGTACAGCAGTTTCCCCTTTGTACTTACCAGTCACAGCAATCCAAACTCTGAAGTTCTGTTTCTCACCGCAAGGCTCCTTTTGACCACTGAAGGCTTCATTTATCTGCATCATTATCGTGCGCTTTCTGTTAGTGTTGGATGCTGTATCAGAAACAGTTTTTAGTGTGAATGGTTTCATGTTTAAAATGTACTCAACGGATATGAAAGGCTATAAATGTGTTTATTTTTTCTCTGCATGTGTCAGTGAATAATGTTGCATGCATACCACAGATTGATGTAGACTTGGTCCTGCCAACAATGAGATCTGCCGTGGAGCAACAGTTACAGCTGATTGCCTTGGGGAGAGCAGACTTTCAAGATGTCAAGCAACACACCCTGGACATTTTCCACAGCAAGTTCCGCTACTTTGTGGACTGTATTTCAGCCATGGATGAGCTGTTTGAGGTGACCTTCTCATCTCTTGCCGACAGTGGGAAGCCCATTTCTCGGTAAGCACTTGCTTGCACATTTTCTATTTGTTGTTGTTGAGACTTCATGTCTTCTTCATCATGTGGTGCCTTACCAACAAGGCATGGAGACTCTCGCTTCTCAATATCTTGCAATTTCTAACAAAAGTATCTGTTCCTGTGCTGACAATTTTTCATGTCATGACTTCTGCTGTGTTCTTCCTTACAAGAGTGGATGGCACATTCTGTTGAGGTTTACAGCAAGGCTGCGATATCCAAGCACTAAACTAAGTAGCTCAGGCAGCAAAACTGTAGACTACTGTCCATATGTGGAAACTGCGCTAGCAAAGCAGCAACAACAAAAAATTACATGTCGGCTGACTCTTTGCTGACAGTGTCAAACATGGACATTTACTGAAACTAATGAGTGGAAAATCCTAACAACAGAAAACAGGTGATGACTTAGGAGAGCTACTACCAAAGTAACACAAAGAAATTTAAAATAAAGTTCATGAAAGAACAACAGATGAGATGTTTTGGCCTTCTTATGAGACTGCTTTGGTATCAGATACTAGAGAATCATTCTTAAGAAATATAGTGTCCATCCATTTATGAAAAGTCAAATTAAAAAATCAACCAAGTTCAACCTACAGCAAACATTGTTGGTTATAATTGTGGTCTGCTTTCCTTATGCAAATTATGTTGGCTGCTTACTTACATAGTCTCTCCTCTTCTATCTTGGGGTGTAGAGGTTTGCCAGAGAGATCGCCAGACGCCTCTGTCAGCAGTTTTCTTTCTGGCTTTGTTCCATTCAAGTCCTCTGTCAGTTAGGGACTGTCGGATGTTGTCTTCACAGATGTTTGCTAAGAAGTGTTCATCAAAACGAGTGGCTTGGAGCTGTACTCTTGTACCTAATGAAGGTTGTTGGGGAGGGGGTGGTATGCACTTTACACTCACAAATATAGACATACATGTACAATTACAAATATATGTACACATACATAACATACACGTCTGCAAGCACACTTGAGAATGCATGTATACGTGTTTGTATATACACACATACATAAATACATACATACCAGTGCACACGCCCACGTGGAATAGTATCCAGATCAGAGGGAATAAGGAAAGTATAGAACGTTGACAAGGAGAACTGTAGACAGTTCATTAGAGCATTAACAAGAGCACATACGCAAGATCCTTACATTTCCTTCCAACACTTCATTGGGAGAGTGGCCCTGATGTAGCAGCTAGATGATCACTGTGGGTTGGATGAGTGGTCCTGATGTAGCAACTAGGTGATCACTGTGGGTTGGGGAAGTGGCCCTGATGTAGCAGCTAGATGATCACTGTAGGTTGGATGAGTGGTCCTGATGTAGCAACTAGATGATCACTGTAGGTTGGATGAGTGGTCCTGATATAGCAGCTAGATGATCACTGTGGGTTGGGGGAGTGGCCCTGATGTAGCAGCTAGATGATCACTGTAGGTTGGGAGAGTGGCCCTGATGTAGCAACTAGATGCTCACTGTGGGTTGGGGGGAGTGGCCCTGATGTAGCCACTAGATGCTCACTGTGGGTTGGGGGGAGTGGCTCTGATGTAGCAACTAGATGATCACTGTAGGTTGGGGGAGTGGCCCTGATGTAGCAGCTAGATGTTCACTGTAGGTTGGGGGAGTGGCCCTGATATAGCAGCTAGATGATCACTGTAGGTTGGGGGAGTGGCCCTGATGTAGCAGCTAGATGATCACTGTAGGTTGGGGGAGTGGCCCTGATGTAGCAGCTAGATGCTCACTGTAGGTTGGGGGAGTAGCCCTAATGTAGCAGCTAGATGATCACTGTAGGTTGGGGGGAGTGGCCCTGATGTAGCAGCTAGATTATCACTGTAGGTTGGGGGAGTGGCTCTGATGTAGCAGCTAGATGATCACTGTAGGTTGGGGGAGTGGCCTTGATGTAGCAGCTAGATGATCACTGTAGGTTGGGGGAGTGGCCTTGATGTAGCAGCTAGATGATCACTGTAGGTTGGGGGAGTGGCCCTGATGTAGCAGCTAGATGCTCACTGTAGGTTGGGGGAGTGGCCCTGATGTAGCAGCTAGATGATCACTGTAGGTTGGGGGAGTGGCCCTGATGTAGCAGCTAGATGATCACTGTAGGTTGGGGGAGTGGCCCTGATGTAGCAGCTAGATGATCACTTCAGGATCAGATCCTGTGGAGTGAGATGTTTTTTTTTTTTTAATTGACCTCGGCTCCAAGGTTGACCCAGTCCTAAGTGGGAACCAGGTAAAGTAAAATCTGTAAAATATAGGTCTAGCCATATGTGCCCAATATGCCTGATGTGCGTGGAAAAGGGTATTTTACTTTGCTGGGGTAACTGGATGGAGAGAAGGATTAAAAACGAAGTGCGCGGTCTACTGTAATTATAGCATTGTATTGTTGTAAGATGTGTAATCCAGCTAATGCAGTCAAAAAACTGTTCTGTCTCCCTAATACTAAAGATGTGGCAAATGCCGAAGGTATATGAAGTTCATCCCAGCAAAGCCTTCCCGTCTCTATTGCTCCGCGTGTGACGAAACATTCTCATTGCCACAAAATGGCAACATCAAGCTGTATAAGGAACTCAAGTGCCCACTGGATGAGTTTGAGCTGCTTCTCTGGACAACTGGGGCAAAAGGAAAGGTAAGTTTTCCTGTGAAATTTGTCATTTCTGGTTGTAAAGTTGTTTTTAAAGCTCACGTGTATCTAAGAAGTGCTGACCTATGTAAACACAATATGCATTTAACATTTCAGAAACTTTTAACTGATAAATGTTTTTAGATATGGCAGATACGACAGAACACTTAGATGTAGCATATACCGCCATACACAGAGATACAGCCTACACCCCATAATTAGTGTCCCAACACACATAGATGTAGCACATACTCCAGCACACTTAGATGTAGCACATACCACTACACACAGAGATATTGTGCATACTCCAGCACATACCTGAGCACACATAGATGGAGCACATACTTTAGCACACTTAGATGTAGCACATACCCTAGCACACTTAGATGTTGCACATACCACTACACAGAGATATTGTGCATACCCCAGCACATACCTGAGCACACATAGATGTAGCACATATCCTAGCACACAATTTTATGTTGCACATACAACCACACACAGAGATAGTGTGCATACTTCAGCACATACCTGAGCACACATAGATGTAGCATATACCCCAGCACATTTAGATGTAACACATACCCCAGCCTACTTAGATGTAGCACATACCCTAGCACACTTAGATGTTGCACATTCCACCACACACAGAGGTATTGTGCATACTCCAGCACATACCTGAGCACACATAGATGTAGCACATACCCCAGCACACTTAGATGTAGCTCATACCCTAGCACACTTAGATGTAGCACATACGCTAACACACTTAGATGTAGCACATACCCTAACACACTTAGATGTAGCACATACCCCAGCACACTTAGATGTAGCACATACCCCATCACACTTAGATGTAGCACTACCCCAACACACATAGATGTAGCACATACCCTAACACACTTAGATGTAGCACATACGCTAACACACTTAGATGTAGCACATACCCTAACACACTTAGATGTAGCACATACCCCAGCACACTTAGATGTAGCACATACCCCATCACACTTAGATGTAGCACTACCCCAACACACATAGATGTAGCACATACCCCATCACACTTAGATGTAGCACATACCCCAGCACACTTAGATGTAGCACATACCCCAGCACACTTAGATGTAGCACTTACCCTAACACACTTAGATGTAGCACATACCCCATCACACTTAGATGTAGCACATACCCCAGCACACTTAGATGTAACAATGTTTTTTATGTGTACTATTTAGCTGCTGATCTCATGAAGCACATCTTGTTTTCCAGACTTACCCATTGTGTCCGTATTGTTACAACAACCCACCTTTCAGTGACATGAGGAAAGGGATGGGCTGCAATGAATGCACACACCCAACTTGTTCTCATGCTTTTGCCCAGAATGGAGTGTCTGAATGTGTGGAGTGTGACAATGGAATTCTTGTTTTGGATTTGACCTCTGGACCAAAATGGAGGATGGCGTGCAATAAGTGAGTAATTCCTTTGAAAGTGGCACATAAGGTGGAAGTAAATGCTGTAATAATCCTTTCACATCTTTCAACACTTTTGCCCCACAACCCCTTGGAAAAGAAAGCCAGAACCCAGAATTCACTAGGAAAAAAAAGGCCTTTGAAAAACATTTTACAGAAGTCACTAATTTTTTTTTTAATTCTTCTTCTTCGTGTCCACTGGCTGTAAATTTCAGCGGAAAGTTTTAGTTGTCTGTTCACCTTTGGACTTTATTCTTGTTTCTGAACCTGAGTATTGCGTGCACATCCATTTAACAGATCTGACTTGATTGTATGCAGATTGTTGGTTCCTTGCCTCTCAGGCAGATGCACTCTAACTTGGAAGGAAAACCCCACTTAGTCGACTCTTGCGACATGCCTGTTGGGGTCTATATCTTGTTCTCCCTGCAGTGGGACCCCAGAATCCACACAGGGATTTTTGAAAACATTGATAAGAATATTTTTCATTTGGAGTCTCAATAAATTATGGGAAATAATCAGTTTAGTTAACAGTTAAATGAATACATTTCTATAAATCTGAAATAAAAAGTATGCTATCGATGACAGCTTCACTGAGAAATATAAAATCATGACTTTACAAAGCCTTTTCCCAAGTTTTAGTAAATATAATCATATTTGTCCATTTCTAATGGGCAGCAAATACACAATATCAGCTTCTTGGGCCAAGGGATTAATGCAAAGGTATTCTTGTCAGAGGTTTTTGATTGTATCTTTGATGATTACAGCAGATTAATATGCGTGATGTACTTGATTTTTTTTCTTTTCTTTTTAAAATACACTAGTTGATCATGAGCTTCAACGTGGTTGTCTGTTGGTTAACTGAAGATTGCAGTCGTTGATTAACAGAATATGGCCTGCACTGGCACTTTCTGTGCTGTTTGATGCAATAGTTAGGGAGCTGCGTGGTCTCGAGGTATGGTGTCCGTCTTGAGTGTTAGAGGTCTCTGGTTCAAGCTGGGATTTTTTTTTGTTCACGTGGACATCTAGTAATTTCCCCTGGTCTCTGAGTAGTAAGATCGGATGTCCATGGCAATTGGAAATTAAAAAGAGGAGCCCAACAGCGCTGCCCGAGCAAAATTTAGAGTTAAAAATCTACCCAAAATTTATAAGATCCTCACCGGTGCTACAGAGCCTGTGCATCTTCAGACTCAGATTTGAGTTAGCAGTAGATCGAAGCACTTAAGGGTTACTACTCATGTGCCATGATATTAATCCTTTGTTCAAACCTCAGATAAACCTGATGCAATAGTTGATCTACAGTAGTATCTGCCTGACTAGAATTATGTTGTAGGCATTGTCTATAGGCAAGCAGTGCTGTTACATCTGTAAAAATGTGACAAGCAGCATATGCTATAAGTGCAATTTACTTTTGTAGTTGACTTCATATTCCAACTCTATGAACTGTTTCTCCCTCCCCAGATGCAATGTTGTGATCCATTTCTTTGAAGGAGCATCAAAAGTTGGCGTGAAGGAAGATAATTGTGTTGACTGTGGAGCAAATAATGTGGAAGTGGCTTTTAAGGTACACAGTATGTTCATGTGACAAGCTTAACTTGAATGTGTAGACTGTAAACTTTACTGGGTTTTTTTTTTTAAATATCCAGAAGCTATGAGTTCTTAACCCTTTGGCTCAGTACCATGGATATCAAAACCCTTCGGCCTTGATCCTATGATAAATACCGTAAATCTGGGAGAAATTTGGCTTTTCTGCCAATCCCCGAACCACAAAGAGTTCGTCACCCAGTCGTCGCGAAGTCAGGTTTAGCCAACTATGTTAGCGAGCCGGGCAAACTGGGTTGTGTTCAAATCAGAGATATATGACACAGTGATTATGATTACAGGAATGAGGGCCAAGTTAAGGCTTTAGCTCACCTTGGGTGCTAGCTAGCTTTGGTTTCACAGACCCTGTTACAAGACTCCTGCCACACATCAATGTTCCATCATGTATATTCACCTATAGGCTGAACCGGGGTGGTGGTCTCCAGAGATGCAACATCAGGCTCTCATCAACCAACTCCCAATAAAAGTAAAGCACTCTTTTCCACTCTTTAGGCATATAGGGCTAGTCCTATATATAGATCAGTCTGCACAAGATGGACGATGTGGTCAGCATCCCGCCAGACCAACCCCCAATGTATGGTTAAAAGTGTATATTGACAAACAGCCAGGATTTTCTACCAAGACAAACCAGAGATGATCCTAGTAATCCCATGCAGTATTACATGAAAAGGAATTAGTCTGCAGCAACTCGATGTATTCAAGTATTTTGGATGCCTTGATGACAGGAGGTGTGGAAGATATTGAAGTTGAATATTAATATAGGCCAAGTAAAAGTAGCATATCACAGAATGAGCAAAATTGTAATGTATTTTTGTCGACCCTCAAGAACATGAGGAAGGAGAAAGAGTGCCCACTGAAATTCATAAAAGACAAGGAAGGGGCTCTGCTTACTAATACACAAATGATAACATGGACAGATGGAAAGAATACTTCTCAGAGCTCTTTGGTGTTTAGAGAAGTCATGATCCAAAAATAACTGACCTCACTACTGAAAAGGAAATCATCCATGGGGATAACATCAGGATGGAAGAATTGAAGGCAGCCATTGGGAAGATTAACCTGGGAAAAGCAGCAAATCATGAAGGTATAACACCAAAAATGATCATATATATGGGAGTCGCAGGTGAGCGCATTCTACTGAAGGTTCTCCAGGCAGCCTGGTGTAGCAAAACTATACCAAAAGATGGGGAGATTGCCATCATTATCTTCTTCTTCTTCAGCATTCCGATCCCTTGGGGTTCATTGCTGCAGATAGCACCCTCCTCCATTCATCTCTCTGGTTAGCCTTCTCTTTCCAGTTGGTAATACCAAGTGTTTGCAGGTCTGTCTGGATATTATCTCTCCATCGTCTTCTTGGTCTCCCTCGTGGTCTATGACCATTCATCTCCCTGATGTATACAGTTTTTACTTCTCTGTCATCTGACATTCTTTCAATATATCCCAACCATTTCAGTCTATTAGCTCTTCCTATATTTAAAAAAGGTGATAGCAGTGTGAAAACCACAGAGGCATATCCCTTCTCAGCGTTCCTGGTAAAAGTTACTCTAGAATTCTCGAGCAGAGACTTAGAAGTCTGGTAGAGCTACAGCTGGATGAGGCCCAATGCGGCTTCAGAGCAAACCGAAGTACTCAAGACCTTATCTTCACACTGTGACAGATGAGTGAAAAAGCCCTTGAATATAAGAGTGAGATGCACCTATGTTGTTTTTTTATCTAGAAAAGGCATTTGACAAGGTACACTATACATCAAGATCTTGATGCCCAGTCCTTACAAACCCGAGTGGATTAATCAGTTATGATGGTTTGGACATGCATGCAGAATGGGAGAAAATCGGCCACCATGGCAGGGACCATACCTTCAGGACGACATAGGGTACACTGGGAAGACATCTGACAGTCCCTAACTGACAGAGGACTGGAATGGAACAAAGCCAGGAAGAAAACTGCTGATAGAGAAGTCTGGCGATCTCTCTGGCAAACCTCTACACCCCAAGGTAGAAGAGGAGCAACTAAGTAAGTAAGTAAGATCAAGAGGTGAAGAAAAGATGCAGACATTGGAAAGACACACGTTAAGAAAAACCTTCTAACAGTGTAACTCGAATGTCCTTGCACTGGAATCTGTTCTTTCATTTGTTTTTCCCATTATTTTCATCCAGGAAGGCAAGAGTCCTTTCCCAGATGGTTCAACAGACCATGTGGGCTGTGTCTTCTGTGATCCGGTCTTCAAGCCGCTCATGGAGAAACATCATGCTGTTGCACTGCGGAGAACTGGTGGGGCTAGCAGGTCTGCTCGAGGTGGACGAGGGCGAGGCAGGGGCAGAGGTCGAGGACGTGGTCGAGGAAAACCAAAGGACAAAATGGCTCAGCTGGCAGCGTATTTTGTGTAACCTTCTTGTAGCTTTAGGACAAAGTTGCTCTCAATGTAATGTAACTAACTGCTTGTAATTGCAACATATAACTTTCTGTAATAGATGTTTTTATACTTACAAATAAATTTTGTAAGAGCAGAAAGCCTATTAATTTCACTGCTTCTTTAGGTGGTCAGTGCTTTCCTTGTCTGACATTTGTTACTTCATCGTCACCAGCTGTAAGATCTCACTTTGATTTGAAGGACAGCTGTAAGCTCCGATTTTTAAAAAAGGACAGCTGTAAGCTTTTAGGAAACACCCATTGTATCAACATTGTTACTCCAACATATTGTTCTACATTTGCCCTTTAAAGAGCATTTAGCGTTGTAGATTTACAGATGGGCTGAAATATCTATTGCATTTGGGCTGAACACATCTGATTTCAGCAACATGATTAATTTCCATGACATGCTCATTAAAGTGCAGGGGAACTGCCTTATTACCCCCTTCCAAAATAGTACCCACATGAGGGCTTCTGCATATTTAGTTGCATTCTAAATTGAAACAAATCTAATCTAGGTGGTTTGAAATAATGGAGTTATGGGACAGAAGATGTTGGGATAACTGGGACAAAAGTGGTTAAAGAAACAACAAAAATAGGTCACAAGGTTAGATATGTACACTGTGTAGGGAATAACCTACATTTATTTGGTGAAGTGTCAGGTGCTGAAAGAAATATACTACCTTATCCTGGCTCATCATCTCCTTGGATCACAAAGTTTTATGTATGTGCACACACAAAATATTTCCTAAGTCAGTTAGCAATGTTCTTTTTTCTTGAAGTACTACTGCATCCACATTTTTCTACCAGCCCACCTCTTCTTCTTCATGTCTTAATGGCTGGTCCATTTAGCAATGTTCTTATTTCTTGAAGTACTACTGCATCCACATTTTTCTACCAGCCCATCTCTTCTTCTTCATATCTTAATGGCTGGTCCATATCCAACATGCATACAGCTGTTTTTGGCTCTGTAGAGCACTTTTTTAAGGGGTCACTACACATTTTTCCAAATTTATGATGAAAATATCACTTTTTCAATGTGTTCTTTTTGTAAAGTTCGGCATTCGTAGAATAGATTACACACAAAATTTGTCATTTGTAAACAATTTAGCTTGGAAAAGTTAATACTAAATGCACCGACCCATGCACTTTTTTAAGATAACAGTTTGAAAGTCAGTTTTCTCACATCTCTATATTTTTGTTTGTTGTGTGTGTGTGAAATCCTTAAATCTCAGCTAATATAAAGACTAGAAACATGAAATTTAGTACGGATACTCGTTAAACAATATTATAAGGACTGGTCTTTTCAAAATTAGATTTTTTAAAGTTTGTTTTTAAAATGTCATTATTGTCTAATGATGCAAGATTTTTTCTCCCACTTTTTCAATAAACCTACACTTTAAAATTCTACAAAAAATATTTTAAAACATGTTTAAAGTAGATAAACTACAACTGTACTTCTAAATAGGATAAAAGGTCATGAGTCTATTATCTTTTGTTTAATACGTATGTTTGTTTTTGAGATTTCAGGATTACAGGAGTACTAAAGATTACATGTTTTTCCCCCTAAGATGGCGACTATTGCCATGACAACCATGATTTCTTCACACTCAAAGTGTGAAAATGTAATAACATGTATCCCTTTAAATGGCCATTATAAAATAATTGCTCCAACTTGTCTTGTCCACAATTGCCTCACAGCGTAGTGGGGAGTCGCAGTTTTCTATCCTGGGCCAGGTGTGTTGCAAGTCCGTGTTGCCTCAGGATCTCTGATATATTGTCTATCCATTGAACTCTCGGTCTGCCTCTTGCTCTAGGGCAGTAGTGCTGTTCGTTGTATGCTCGTAGAGGCAGTTGGTCGGTTTGCAATTTATCAGTTGTTTTAGTGCCATAGTGATGCTTGGGTGTTTTAGCAGTGGGGAGAGTTGGTAAGTTACTGCGTTCGATTGTTCCAACTTTGTTAATTAAAAAAAAATTAGATTTTTTGGGGCGTAGTGACCCCTTAATGGAGATCACCTTTTCTGTTCGCTCACTGTTAACTTCTAACCAGTAACTGGTTGTGTACAGTTGCAACATTCTGAGTACACATATTCAGTTCATTATTTGGTTATGCTACTAAATTGCGACAGTGGAAAGCTTTGTCAATGGACTAAAACATAAAACGAAGATATGGAACGTGAGGAGTTTATATCAAACATGAAATGTATGATCACAGGTCAGGGAGACAAGGCCATTTCAAGTGCGAAATGATAGATACTGTTATTCCACTTATGGAAGCTAGTGTTATGATGCAATTCCTAATTCGGCTTTCTTATCTATTTTAAATTTATCATTATTTTAATGAAAAAAGCTGGACAGACATACCAACACAACTCTCTAGACTGACATATCAAGTTTACGGAGGATTTTGTTTTCAAGATGTCTTTTATCCAGTATGCAAGGGCATGATTGCTGGTAAGGACCCACATGGAAGATTTTAACTTTTTTTTTTCCACTTTCCCCAGCATGGAAAGGCAAAATTATACCCTTCAGGGCAGGCAATTACACTACTAAACTTGCCTGCAAAGCTGAATATAGCCAATTACTGTTGCGACACAACCCTCATAAATGCCAATTTGTGGTCATTTCTGCAGTGACCTGTTTTTGAAAAACAATGGTTAATCTCACTAGTTCTAATGCCCGTCTGCAGTGTTTAAATACACCAGGAAATACATAGTAACTGAAAATAATTGGTGTTAGGGGGTAATTTATGAGCCCACCCCATGGCTTTTTTTAAAGCCCTATGAGATGTTTCCTGTAAGCCTTAGCAACAGAGGTCAAGCATGAGTCATCCACTTGCTAAACAAATTCAGTCCTAATTTTCAGTGGGTGGTAAATTTAAAGAAAGCTCATGTTTTTAAGAGTGATGCGAGTTGCACTGTAGAAGAGATTGCACTTCATTGTGTAATATTCAGAAAGACTGGCCATGGAGAACTCAGCACTAGTAGTTGTGCAAGAATGGAAAACATGAGGAAAGGCATGCTGATTTTCAGATTTTTTAGAATGTCAGTATCTTCTTCTTCTCTCTCCCCCCCCCCCCTTTCTAATGTTTGTAGTATTATATTTACACAGCACATGAGAACTGGCTGGGATTAGGCTTGTGATAAGACTAACCTGATGCTACATAGTGTGGGATTGACAGTGGGTGGCTTAGGTGATCTTGCCCACCCCATGCTCAAGGACAAGTTCATTTTAAATGTTATCCAGATGTCACAAGTCTGGTCTCTTAGATCAGATATTAGTGAAGTAAGATCCCTTTCCACCCGCATATGAGAGAGCACCCATATTTTTACAGACCATTCAGCACTAGGTGGGTATTGTGGTCAGCATTAACTAGGCTGGCCGTCTTTACTTCTCCAGGGCATACATCCTAGTACCCATTTTATAAATCATAATGGGAGACCGCAAAAGAGGTCCTTGTGCAACAGTAGCTCCAAATGCAAGCAACCCCAGCAAAATGACATGTGAAGCTATTGTCAAGTCATGGACTTTCTGTGCCAGTGTTGCATCAGGCATTCAAATGATAGTTAAATTGTGTCTATGAAGAATCTGATCAATATTTTAGCCAGCTTCATTTACAGATTTTTCCAGTTTCTATAGGGATTACCTCAGACAGCATGCAACTTCAGACGAAATTTTTAGACAAATTGTTCTGGGGGATGTAAAGCTGGCAGTAGCCACATCAAGTGGCAACAAAAATGTGGTAATATTGGGTATATATTGAACAGGATGACATGATAAAATTCACTCGAGTAGAAATAACAATTGACAAGCATCTAGCGATGATAGATGGTACCACTTTTTTAACTGCATTATTTGTTAACATTTGGAGGGGGGACTAAGTCTGTGCTGGGCAGGGAAAGTGTCGGGTCGTAGTGTGTGTAGTCTGAAAGTAGACTGCACCCAAGAAGTTCCACAATCTTTACTTTAGAGACTGGGAACATGCACTTGTATATACACAGGACCGGAGATGGGAAAATGTAGACAAATATTACAGCACGACTTCATTCACACCTCTACAGCTAAAAGGCACAATCATGTAAACACCAACTGCAAAAACAACCAACAAATAACTGTCAAACTATTCAATACAACTTTATTCTTCTGGAATTTCAATCTCCCCTTCATTGATCTTCTCAATGACAGTATGAGGAGTCAGTTTGTCAATGGTGCAGCCAATAGACTGTGCAGTGCCTGCAAGTTGAAAAAAAAAGGGTGAGAATATTTACACATGTAACTAACTCACATACAGTCTCTTAATTTTACTTTACTAGTCATGTTAAATATGTAATCTATTCACCATTTGTTAAATGATGCCTGGGATACAAAAGACTAAATGTAATACAAAACATAGGCCATACATCCAAAATTAGCTGCATTTTATTTCAACATCTACACATTGAGTTATTCAGTGTTTGCAAAAATGGGCTTCCAAAAGTCTGAGCTGCTGTCCTATTATATAAGGGCGTAGAGAAACACTACAGTTTCTAGTGTTCACTTACTAGGTGCAGGCATAAACTGGGCAATTCTGTTAGCAAACAAACACTCCTATTCACTGCAATTACAAGAAATCAAACCATTTATCAAGGGGAACAAACCAACAGTAAACATCCTAGAGACCCCATTAACAGACTCAATAGAGAAAAAATGTCACAATTTTATGTCTAAGAACCAGGGCACTGCAGATTTAAAAAATCACCTGCAGAGTCCCTACAGTGTACTTGTCAGAGAGGACCACAAACAACTCAGCACATACTGCAGGCCTGTCCCCAATACAACTACGAAGAAAAGCCTGGCCTTAGGAGCAAAGTGTGCACCTCAAGCTGTGGTCAACCATGGAGGACCCGCAACTGAAATGTGAATTCAGAGGCACCCCAATAGACGATCTGACCTGAGAATACAAACCAACCAGGACGAAGAGTTCACACAACTACAGAAT